GTCTGAGTAGTTGCTGACTTTTCGATTGGGTCTCTGAGTGGATTCCCAGATTGTTGATGATGAAGTATTTCTGTTACTTAGTTTTCCTTCTAACAGCCTAGCCCCTCTGCTGTACAACTGCTGAGGTCCACTCCGGCCCTGCTTGTCTGGGGTACACCAGTAGCAGCTGCGGAACAGTGAGGGATGCTACCAGTTTCTTCTTCTGCTATCTTTGTCCCAGAATGATGCCCACCAAATGTCAGTCTGATCAGTCCTTTTTGAGGTGATTCTTTGGATATACAGGGGTCAGGGTGCTGCTTGAGGAGGCGGTCTGTACTTCTTAGTAGCTCAAGTGCTGAGCTGTGAGCTCTGTTGATCATTCAGGGCTGTTAGGCAGGTATGTTTATGTCTGCTGCAGCAGAACTCATAAAACCCCTTTTTTTCCTCAGATGCTCTGTCTTGGGGAGTTAGGGCTTTCTTTATGAGTGTCCCTTGCACTGTCCTGCCCAGCTAGGGGGCAGTCTAGTCACTAGTTGCCTGCCGAGGCTCCGCCCTGCTGCTGTGGGGTCTGCCCTGTTGCCGTGGGCTTCGCCCTGCTGCTGTGGGCTCCGTCCTGTTGCCAGAGTCTCTGTTATGGCAGGTTGCCTCTGCAACGGCAGGCTGCATCAGCAATGGGAGTGTACCTCAGTAGGGGTGGAATGCCTTGGTAATGGCAGACGCCCCTCTCCCACCGAGCTGCACCATCCTGGGTTCAGCTGTGCCCGCAGTGAAACTCTCAACCCTGAGCGTTTCAAATTGCCATTTTGTTTGTCCCTGTGAGGGTGGGACCCGCTGAGCCTGATCACCTGACTCCTTGTCTCAGAGCCCCCCTCTTTTTTTTAAGTTGAACGGTTGACTCTCTCCCAGGTGTTTCAATCACCTGCTAATAAAGCACCGGGATCTGTGTGATTTCCTGTGCAACAACCCACTGCGCTGGCTCAAACATCACTTCCCGAGAATCTCCTGGTCTGGCTCACTGTCCAAGTCCCGTTTAATCAGATGGATATGCTAACCTGCCCTCTCAAATCTCAGATTGCTGTTTTAACAGGGCACCCAGACCAGTGCATTTTCTGTGGAGTACCACTGCACTGCGGCGCCTGCTGAAACAGCCGCACAAGCTGAAACAGCTGCGCTGGTGTCCCGTGTCTCTCCTACACCTGGGAATTTCCCCTTTCTGTGGGCAACAAAGGTCCGTCTGGAAATGCAGCTTGCACTCACCCTCTGCGTCTTCACTGAGAGCTGCAATCCTGAGTTGCTCCTACCACACCATCTTCTTTTTCCTCCCAACTTAAGTAATTTTTCTATGTGTCACTGTCCTTATCTATATTATTGGCATAACATTTTCTCTATTTAAGTATATTAATGTAATTAATTATGTCATTTTTGAATACTTAGTGTAATATTTGTTTTATAGTGAATATTAATTAATATCTACTGCTACTAGCACTACTGAATATCTGTTTGTTAATACCATTATAGCAGACAGCAGCTTCATATTGATAAAGATATGAGGTGACAAATAAAATGATACAAACAGAAAAAATATTGTCTAATGATGACAAGGAAAGTAGGCACAATAAAAATCCTCAGCTAAGAAGTGAATGTAGGAACATAAGTGCAAGAGTGACAGAGCAAGCAATAGACTGGGTGAGAGAATGAGAAAGGGAGGGAGAGTAAGGATTGAAATTTAAAAGCAGAAGCAGAAGGCAAATATATCAGAGTATGGATACAATAAAAAACATTTAAAAGAAGACTTCCAGAAGATTATTTACACCAAAGCATTACAAGGGCATGTTTGTCCAGTAACTTGCCCAGATTAGACAGATAAGTGTAACTGATTAGCATTTTAGATAGAAATTATTTTAGATAAACATAGTCTTAAGAACATTATATCCACCAATTGGATCTGTTTCATGGTCTGTGAAAACCCAGTTCATATAATTTCCAGAGTAGTTATTTTACAGAGCAGTAAAGATTAAATTTAAACATTTGTGGCACCTGGATAACACAATGTGTGACATAAGAAACATACTGAGCTTGTTGGCGCCCGCTTATATTCCTCCTTGATGACTCTGCAGATATACCAAGTTTTAAAACTAATGATCAACTTACAATAAATGTGTTCTATATATGTGCACAGCATTAGAAAATAAAGTTTGCCTAGCTCTAAAACGTAAAGATACCCTGAAACACCTTGATCTAATTTACTCATTTAAGTATATCGAATCCAAACGGTGTTCCAGAAACTGTGATAGCTACTTTGATTTTTCACAAAGTAAATAAATATTTACTTTTTATGTAGATAATGAATGCAAAGTCCACAAACCAGTAAGCATGCAGTGATAAATCATATAATAAAAAAATGTTATTTGATCACTATGAAAATGTTCAGAATGTGCCAAAACATCCTAGTGACCATGAGCCACCTTCTGTCCATGAATTGCTCATTGAGGTCAAATGCATAAACGTATGTAGCTGAAAGCAATTATTTTTGAAAATAAGTTAATTTCTTCATTCCTCAGATATAGTAAGAGTGGCCAATGCATTGTCCAAATTACTCTATTTATTATTCCAGGTATAGGGTACACTAAATCTTTGGTACAGGAACAAATGCACTATTATGGGGGGGGGATATCTTTTCAACAAATAGAGGTAGAACAACTGAACTCTAATGCAAAAAAAAAAAAGAATCTAAACATAGATAACTTACACTCTTCACAAAAATCAACTCAAAGTGTCATCTGCAAATAGGAGTCATTTTATTATTCTCTAATTTAAACATCCACTCAGAGATGCCATCCAAAAGTCACCAACTACAAAGACCACCGGAAGATAAATCCAGAAAGATGTGAAGAAACCAGCACAAAAATGATGAAAACATCAAAAACCAGAACATCTCTCCTCCTCCAATGGATCATAACTCACCAGCAAGGGAACAAAGCTGGATGGAGAATGAGTTGTTCTAAGAAATGTCTCCCCAGCACTCCCTCAAAACACTGGGAAAGAAGGACAATCTGTCATAACCAGAAGAGACTAAGGAAACCTGACAACTAAATGCAAAAAGAGGAAAAGTGTGGACAAATGAATGAGATTGGAATAAGGTCTGAAGCTTAGAAAGTAAGGCTGGGTACAGTAGCTCACGCCTGTAATTCCAGCACGTTAGGAGGCTGAGGTGGGAGAATCACCTGAGGTCAGGAGTTCATGACCAACCTGATCAACATGGAAAAACCCTATCTCTACTAAAAATAGAAAATTAGCCAAGCATGGTGGTACATGCCAGTAATCCCAGCTACACAGAAGGCTGAGGCAGGCGAATCGCTTGAACTCAGGAGGTGGAGGTTGTGATGAGCAAAGATAGCACCATTGTCCTCAAGCCTGGGCAACAAGAGCAAAACTCCATCTCAAAAAAAAAAAAAAAAAAGTAATAGTGTGCCAATCTTTTTTTTTGTAGTGTTGACAAATGTAAAATCATAATATAAGATTATGACATAGGAGAAATAAGGCAAGTGTTTGTATTAGATTTGTATAGCTGCTGTGACAAAACATCACATACCAGGAAACTTAAAAGAACAGGTGTTTATTCTTTCACAGTTTGGAAGCCAGAAGTCCTAAATTAGCGGCACTGGACTGAAATCAACACATGAGCAAGGCTTGCTTTCTTCATAAACTATAAGTGAGAATTTATTTCTTGTCCCTTTCATTTTATGGTGGCTGCAGGTATTCCATGCCTTGAGGCCACATCACTTTAGTCTCTGCCTCCATGCTCACCTCACAGATTCCTCTTTTGTCTGTCATCACATCTCTCTATCTTCTTCTGGTAGTGACATATATGAGCCTTTAGGTTCACACAGATAATCTACAAAACTATCTCAGGCTTCATCACTTCTATATAGTCCTTTTAGGCAATATAAGGTAATATTAAAAGGTTCCAGGAATTAGGATGTATAAAGATTGTGGGTCATAATAGCATATTGAATTTGTTATGTTTGCTACTGAAAGACATTGTCATGTTTATATTCTACATAGATGTTTAGAATCATTTCAGGTAATTCTAAAATTTATGTGTATAAAGTAATTTTCAAATATAATTAGATATTAAACCTTAGGTAATTTCACATTTAATGTATTTTTATGATTTGCTAAGTAGTATTTATTTGATGTATTATTTTCTACTTCATGAGACATCACATCTAAGTAAAAATTATGAGATGGCTTCAAGTGAGTTACTTGATGATAGAATTCTCAGGAAATGATTGTGTCCAAAGGTGGGAGAAAAAGTGCTTAGAATAGAGATAAAGAATGTTTCAGCAAAGAAATTATCCGTGTCTTTTGAAATGAACTATACATCTATCTAGAAGGCTTATATTAAAGGTAGTTTACTATAATCGTGAATGGTTTCAATATATTGATAAAATTAGAATCAAAGCTTAATTATTTTATTCATTCAACAAATACTCATTGAGGATCTCCTATGAAACACACTCATTTAGGTACTCAAAATCTTATTTTAAAAAACAAAACACTCACTGCTTTAATGAAGTGTGCATTCTAGTTGGAAAGGAGGATATATAATAAAGAAATGAATAAATATACAAGAGTGTGAATAAGAACGAGGAAGAATAACACGAGATGAGGGAGCAGTGTACATGGGGTGGGGAGAGTGACTGTTACATAAAGGTGGTGAAGGAAGGACTCTATGACTAGGTCACTTTTTAAAAAAGACCTGAATGGAGTGAGGAAATATGCGTGGAAAACAGAAGTACACAGGCCCTGAGTTTGGAGCATGCTTGGCGCTGTGAAAAACAGCAAGGAGAGCAGTCTGAACGAAATGGAGTAAATACAGGTGAAGCAGTAAAAGGTGATGTATGTCAACTAAAATAATGAAGGAGCAGATTTAACCACTTCATAGCATTTGCAGAAAGAAAAAATGTACATGTTTTGTTTCTCAGTGCACTTTTAAACTGTAAAAGTTGGAAGTAATATACAAACAAAGTTAAAAATCCATTTATTTATTTTTCTTTTTTTTCAGGTGTTCAGAGGAAAGTATTAAGTAGAGGTGAGGAACTAGGATGTTGAAAAGTAAAAAAACGAGAGAAGGAGAGGAAAGAGAGAGAGAGAGAACAGGAATATTGCTTCATTCTAAAAATGGGTATTAATAATGGCTGATCAATATTTTGTGTATTTAAAATGGAGAACTCTATAAATATTTATTGAGTTCACTTGTTCCGGATCTGAGTTGAAGTCCTGGATATCCTTATTAATTTTCTGTCTCATTGAGTCTAAATTTCATTATGGGTCTTATGTATCTGGGTATTAAGATCTCTTATTATTGCATTGATCCTTTATCACTGTATCTTTGTTGTTTGAAATCTATTTTATCAAATGTGAGAATTGCAACTCCTGCTTTTTGTTTATTTATTTATTTTTGCTCTCCATTTTGTTGGTAAATTTTTTCTCCAACCCTTTGATTTGAGTCTTTGTGTATCTTTGGATATACCGTTAGGTTTTGGCTGTATCTTTTGATTGGGGGATTTAGTCGATTTAAATTTAGGGTTACTGCCATTTAATGTTAACTGGCTATTTTATCCATTTGTTGATGTAAATTCTTCTTTATGTTGATGCTTTTTACTTTTTGGTATATTTTTAGAAAGGCTCATACTGGATGAAAAGGAATGAGCAAAGTCTCCAAGAAATATGGGACTATGTGAAAAGACCCAATCTACGTTTGATTGGGGTACCTGAATGTGATGGAGAGAATGAATCTGAGCTGGAAAATGCTTTTCAGGATATTATCCAGAAAAATTTTCCCAATCTAGCAAATCCATTTATTTTTACTCAATTTTTCTGGTACTCTGTAGGGTCCAGCCCTACTGGGTCCTGTGAGCCCCTCTCTACTTGTGTGGAGATGAGAAACTGTGGAAGTAAAGACACAAAACACAGAGATGGAGAGAAAGAGAGTTTGGACCCAGGGGTCCACTGCCAACCAAAGTGCGGAGTCCGGCAGTGGCACCGAGGGCCTGCACTCTCTGACTTTCATTGAGTACAAAGCAGGGGACAGGGTAGGTAGGGTGAAGTAATGGTGGTTGGTGATCGGGTCAGGTAAATCACGTGTCTTGGAGATAGGGGCCCAGGTCTTTCAAGTAGCAGAGATAAGGTAAGGAGCATAATGCATCAGCACTTTTTCCACACTTGTAAAGAAAGAACAAAGATTAAGATTTGTGTTACTTTTACTGATGATATCTTCCAAGAAAAAGAGGAACCAGGTGCAGAAGCAGAACATGAAAGTGGACATGGAAGGTGACCACGAAGCATAGCATCACATAGAGACAATTAAGCCCCCGATGTCTGTGGGTGTCCCTGACAGCTGTCAGACCTACCACAAGAGCTTGGGGGAGCAGAGTTTTCTCCTACCTCCTACAGGGAAGGAGACATCTTGGACGTCTCCTTCGACAGCTGGCTAAACAGTGGGCACTGTCCCAGCATTGCCACACAGCCAAGGCACCCTCCAGCAGCCCTGACATGGGCGTGTCAGAGGGCTTAAAGCATCTTGCCTTAGGGTCACTTCTTTCACAATGTCACCTTAGGTTCACACTTTGCAACCCGAGAACCATTAGTAACATTAAACGATTATAATGAGTGTATATATTTTAAAGTATCTATACCTGTGATTACTTATGTGATTATATTTCTAATTCCATCATTTATATGGAAACAGGCTTAGGCTTCAGAACCTTGCCTCTGCACTTGCCGGGTCACCCACCCACAGTACTCTAGTTATTTTATCCTTTTAAGATTTAAAACATGAACATGTTGCTTCTATAAAATTACTCAGTAATGACACAAGAATTAATTCATATAAAATGCTATATTTACATATTCTGGATAAAATGTGCCAAGGATGCTGGGCATGGTGGCTCTCGCCTATAATCCCAGCACTTTGTGAGGCTGAGGCGAGCGGATCATGAGGTCAAGAGACTGGCCAACATGGTGAAACCCTGTTTCCATTAAAAATACAAAAAATTAGCTGGGCATGGTGGCACACGCCTGTAGTCCTAGCTACTCAGGAGGCTGAGGCAGGAGAATCGCTTGAACCCAGGAGGCAGAGGTTGCAGTGAGCCGAGATTGCACCACTGCACTCCAGCCTGGTGACAGAGCAAGACACTGTCTCAAAAACAAAAACAAAAACAAAACAAATGTGCTAAGGAAGAGCATATACTTTCATTTAACAATATATGTTTTTAAAATAAAATTAGCACTCTTGGAACAGTATTCAGCTAAGTAAATTTGAAAGCATTAGGCTCAACTTTATATTCTGCTACTCAAATTAAATATTTAAATTATTTCCATTAAATATTCATGTATTACATACAGTTCTACAGAGAAACAGAACCAATAAAAATATGTGTATAAATAAAAGGACATTATTATGGGAAGTGGCTCACGTGAATTTGGAGGCTGAGAAGTCTCACGACTGCAAACTGGAGAACCAGGAAAGCCAGCAGAGTAACTCAGAGTTTGAAGGCCTGAGAAAGGTCAGGACACGGCTGTGGAACTGGTATAAGGCCTGGAGGCCAAAGGCCCAAAAACCAGGACCTCAAATGTTCAAGAGTAAGAGAAGATGACTGTCCCAGTTCAAGAAAAGAGAAAATTCATCCTTCCTCCACCTTTTTGTTCTTTTCAGGAAAGCCCTCAATAGATTGAATAATGACCACCCACATTGGTGAGGGCAGACCTTCCTTACTCAGTCTCCTGATTCAAATATTAATCACTTTTGGAAACACCTTCACAGACACATTCAGAATAATGTTTAAGCAGCTATCTGGGCATCCCTTAATCCAGCCAAACTGACACATAAAATTGACCATCAGAACTTGCCACATTACATTTAATCCACATGCATTTTCCATACCCAGGGAGAATTTCCCATTTCATGGGAAACTTCCATGTATTTCTATTAATGGACTTATTTTTGCTCTGGTTTTATGTATATTTGCATTGACGTGGTAGGAAAAAAATGCATGTAGAACAAATGAATGTATTAATATCTTTAAGGGTTTTGGCAAGGAAGCCCCAAGATGTCTTAGCCATTCTTGTTTGGGTGTTGTTTCTGGACATAATGTTTCTTTTTATCTAGACAATAGACTTTAACTGGCATGGCCATCACATCAAGAATATAACATTATTGTGGACCTTAAATGTGATTCAGAACATGGAGAAAATCTGACAGAAATAGGTTGTGGTGAATCCTACAATGTTAAACTCACAATCCTAGAGACAATTTTGCCTTCTCAACAACCTTCTTGAATGCGCTCTTCACTTCCTTGTTCCTCAGGCTATAGACCAGGGGGTTCAGCATGGGGATGACCATCGTGTAGAACACAGATGCCATTTTGTCTGTGTCCATGGAGTGACTGGAGCTGGGCTGTAAGTACATGAAGATAATAGTCCCATAGAAGATGGCAACTGCAATGAAGTGAGAGGCACAGGTGGATAAAGCCTTCTGGTATCCTAAAGCTGAGTGCATCTTTAGGATGGTGATAAAAATGAATATGTAGGATATCAAGATAACCAGGAGAGCAAAAAAGATGTTGAAGCTCACAACATAAACAAGAACAAGCTCACTAACACGTCTATCAGAGCAAGCGAGAACCATGATTGCTGGAATATCACAGAAAAAGTGATGGACTTCATTGGACTTACAGAAAGAGAGACTAAATGTGTCCCCAGTGTGGATGGAGGCATTCAGGAAACCACAGAGGTAGGAGCCTATGGTCAGATAAACACACACACTTGTTGTCATGGTCGTGGTGTAATGTAGGGGTTTGCACACTGCTGCATAGCGGTCATAGGCCATTGAGGCCAAAAGGTAATTTTCCACAGTGGCAAAAGCTACAAAAATGTACATTTGAGCAGCACATGCATGGTAGGAGATGACCTTGTCTTCTATAAGGAATCCAGCCATGACCATTGGAGTGACAGCTGAGGAGTAGCCAAAGTCCACTAGAGACAAGTTGCTGAGAAAAAAATACATGGGATTGTGGAGATAGGAATCCCAGAATATCAATACAATAATTCCCAGGTTTCCAACCAGAGTGATAATATAGATGAAGAGGAAGACTATAAAGAGGGGAACTTGCAGTTCTGAGTCGTTTGTTAGTCCTAGAAGGATGAACTGTGTTACTTCTGTCTTATTTTCCATCATTGTTCTGGGTACCCATAGGATGCTTGTAGCAATACAAAAAAGAACAGTGTGATTAAATAATTGAATTAAAATTGAAAAGTATAAGTACAATATGTATTCCTTCATTGTAGCAATAACTTGTACTTGATTTCTAAGATTCCCTAGAAAAAGCATGGCCTCAACAGCCAAATTTAGTGCATTAATTATATAGCGTTACATACTGTTGAATCTGAAGAATCTTAATAGATTACCTATCTACACAACTTTCAAATTTTATAAATTTGTAAACTCGTATGAAGAAAATTTACTAACGTGATCAAGATGACTTGTCCAGTTGCATCTATCTGTTAATTCACTTTTCCAGAGCACAGGAAAAGCTGACACATGTTGCTAATTTGCCAAGAACTTCTCTAGACATTTTAGATATACATTCATTATTACCTTGCAACAATATTGTGAATTTGATTCGTTGTTGCATTCATTTAAATTATGAAGCACAGGAGGTGGAATAATGTATTCATATTTACGCAAGTATTAAATGGCAAGACATGCTTTGAACCCATGCCAACCTTTGAACCCATGCTGAGTGGTTCCTAAGTCTAATGGTCTAAACTGAATTTAAATCAAATTGGATACAACCCAATTTACAATCACTCATTGCCTTCTTTGGTGCAAACTCAGTGTTTTAGATCTCACAATGAAGTAAGTGAGTAATATATGCATAGTAAATGTGGTGGGATAAGTGGGGTTTTAGGGGCATGTTCAACTAGCAGAAACAATTTTGAGAGAAGCCTATCATCAGATACAGAGCTTCAGATCTTGGAAGAGATGCATATCAGTCCACTACTTACCACCTGGGAATCATTGGTTCTAATCTAACTCCCTTAAACATCTCATTTTCTTCTGTAAAACTAGAACAGTAATGAGACCTACTTTGAGGTATTATTGTGAGAATTAAATAAGATAATGCATTAAAATGTTAATGTTAATCACAGTCTAACGAGTGCTAGCTATAATATTAAATATTATTATTAGGATGTGGGATGATCTTTTTCTTGATTGGGTAAAGGTGTATGGTGACAAGCAGGGCTTCAGGCATGGGTGAGTTTTGAAATCTTGAGACTCCTATCTCCAATTTTCTTCTCCTCCATACTGGGACCACTGAGATTTTCTGTGTTCTTCAGTGATTCTCAGTTTATTCTTCCTCCAAGCAAATGATTGGTTGCTCTGGAAAATTCATGGGAGTCATTCTTTTTCTTAATTTCTCCCTTGAAATCCACATTTTAGTGTGGGTTAAAAAGTCCCTTTTTCCTAAACCCATTCTTTCTCTTATTTGTGTTATTCCATAGTCAAATAAAAGATTAAGGGTTAAAATTTCCTACATTTTGTGGTATCTTTATTTATCTCACAGATCTGATTTGGTGGCAAATTCCATGTGATAAAATGTTTTATTTGAATTTATTCTTGTTTAGAAACAATATTTTACTATGTATTTATTTTAATGTTTTTAAATTTCAACCTTCATTTTATTTTATTTTATTTTATTTTCAATGTTCGTTTTAGATACAAGAGTTACATGTGCAGATTTGTTACATGAAACATTGTGTAATGCTGAGGTTTGGAGTAGGGATTCTGTCCCCCACTACTGAGCATACTATCTGATAGGTAGTTTTTAACCCCACCTTCCCTTTCTCCACCCTCTAGTAGTCTGCAGTGTCTGTTGTTCCCATATTCATGTCCATGTGTTCTCATCATTTAGCTCTCACTTGTTAGTGAGAATGTGCGGTATTTGGTTTTCTGTTCTTTTGTTACTTTGCTTAGGATTATGTCGTCCAGATTCATCCATGTTGCTGCAAAGGACGTGATTTCTTTCTTATGGCTATGTAGTATTTCACAGTGTACAGATTTCTTAAAGAACTTAAAACAAGGGGAGAAAGCAAACAAAACACACTGCCATGTGTGTGCCTATGCAACTGTATTGCATGCTCTGCACATGTACCCCAAAACCTAAAATGCAATAAAAAAAAGAACTTAAAACAAAGCTACTATTTGACCCAGTATATACCCAAAAAGAAATAAGTCATTTTACTACAAAGACAAAGACGTGATCAACCTAAATGTCCATCAATGATAGATTGGATAAAGAAAATATGGTACATATATACCATGGGATACTATGCAGCCATGAAAAGGTATGAGATCACCTCCTTTGCAGGGACGTTGACAGATCTGGAAGCCATTATCCTCAGCAAACTAATGCAGAAACAGAAAATCAGGTACTGCATGCTCTAACTTTTAAGTGGGAGCTGAATGATGAAAACACATGGACACCTGGTGGAGAAAAACACAGTGGGGCCTGTCAGACAGTGGCAGGTAGGAGGAACAAGAGCATCAGGAAGAAAAGCTAATGTGCTTGGCTTAATACCTAGGTAATGGGATAATCTGTACAGCTAATCACCATGGCACCTGTTTATGTAACAAACCTGCACATCCTGCACATGTACCCCTGAACTTAAAAATTGGAAATTTTTTTTAAAAGCCACATTTATCTGTATGATCATCAGCACACTATTCACAACAGCAAAGGCACAGAATCAGCCCTGGTGCCCATCAATGGTAGATTGGATAAAGAAGATGTAGTACATATACACCATGGATTACTACACAGCCATGATAAAAGAATGAAATCAGAAACAATACTTTTAAATCTTTGTACCTGAATTAAGGTCTTTAGAAGGGTATCCAATCAATACTAACTAATGTTTCCTACTGTCTTTCTCTTAAACACTTGGCAATTTCACTTTCCAAGCCTGACTTATGAAGATGCTATGTTGCTAAACTTTAACATACATGACTGCTTTTAGCACACACTATGTTCTACAACCAATAATAAAAACTTTATATATAAATGTGTGTGTGTGTGTGTGTGTGTGTGTGTGTAGAGAGAGAGAGAGAGTTAGGTATTATTATTGTTATTACTTTATCATTAAGAACATTGAGAATTTGAGAAGTGATGTGATACTTCAAAATTCTATGGCTAATTTGAGAGTCAAGATTCAAAAGTTGAATAAATCCATCTTCAATCTAATCAAAAGTCAAACCTTTCAGCCGCACATCACTGTCAACATATGTAGATGTGCTAATAGTAATAAGAATGAGATTATAAAGAAAGGTTAAAACACAGGTCATAGCTGGTTGATTCATTTAACACCCTTTTGTAGTTTAAAGAATAAACATTTCACTCATTTTAATTTGTTTGTTTTTGTCTTTGTACAGCTAATGAGAAGCCAATATATAACAAACTGATAAAATTACCACCTTGTCAATCAGAATATCATCTATCTTATTTTTTCATATTTTTGGAGAAAGAAGCATATTTCATAAGAATCACTAAATTTCCTATAATGGAACATGTATGCACTACACTCCACTCAGTATTTTAGAAAAAAATTTGAAAACATCTATTTCTGCTCTCAAATAACTTACAGTAGGTACAGCTGCCCCACTGCTTTTGCATGAGTTACACTTCTCTCTAAAATGTTTCTTAGATATAGAAACTTACCTTACAGCTGGATGAGCAGAAACAGTCAATACAGAATAATTGATCTGTAATCAGAAAATCAGCCATGGAATATTGCATAAATATGTTTAGAGAAGCTTGCTTTCAGATAGTGGTCAACAGGTTTCAAGATCTCTTAGGGATGGGAAAATAAAGGGAAGAACATTAACATGGAACAAGTCCTGAATCTAGTTTTAATTCTTTCTGTGCACTTAAAGGATTTACTTATCTTCTTTCTTGAGAAAATAAATATGTTAATATTACCTCTCTCACATAATTCACAGAATTGCATCTGTAAATAACAAATAAGGGAGCCCTGTGAAACATCTTGTTAAGGGGTCATCATGTGAAAGTCAGTCAATGTAATTTTTAAATTTGGATGTTTTCCCTGAGCATGGTCAGAAAGCATGCAGGAACTAACAGCAATTATCATTTAGATGAATACATGATGATCCGTGGAGCTCTATACACAGTGAGTTCTCTCTAAAACTACATCAGGTTGAGTCCTGTTGGGATTTCAGATGCTAATATATGGAGATATAAAGATAATTATAGGGGCATGGAGATCTCTGGAGATGTCCCCTGTGAGAGGATCTACAACTCCTCATTCTACTTTCCTGGTGAAGAACCAATTAAACTGCCTGTGGGGATCAAGCTGATTATTTTTAATATGCACAAGTAATTTGTTATTTCTTTTTTCCATTCTCTAATTAGTGCATAATTCATATAAAGTAATGCCCAATATTAATACACATTTTACTGTATAGTTCTAAGAATTTTGTTAAATATATGGTTAGATAATGACTACAACAGCCACATAAAAAAAATTATCTGAACCTACTTTTTTGTAACCTCTTTTCCCACCCACTACCCTGGCAACAAGTAAATTATTTTTGTCTAAATAATTTTGCCTTTGCTAGAATATCTTTAAATATAATCTTATGTCTTTAAATATCATCCTGGAATATGTAGTCTTTGAGTCTGTCATCTTCCACTTTCACTTAGCAATTAACTGTCTTGCATACTCTGCTCATGTACCCCAAAACCTATAATCCAATAAAAAATTAAAAAAAAAAAAAAGACTCATGCATATTGTTGCCTATGTCAGAGTTAAATCCTTTTTATCGTAGAATATTGCATTATGCGGATACTATAGATTGTATTTCTCATTGTGCAACTGAGGAACATATATATTGGTGATTACAAATAAAGCTGATCTAAACTTTTCATTAAAGATTTCTGGGTCGGGCACACTGACTCATGCCTGTAATCCTAGCACTTTGAGAGGCCAAGGTAGGTGGATCACTTGAGGTCAGGAGTTTGAGACCAGTCTGGCCAACACAGTGAAGCCCCGTATCTACTAAAAATACAAAAATTAGCCAAGCATGGTGGCAGGCACCTGTAATCTCAGTTACTCAGGAGGTTGAGGCAGAAAAATCACTTGAACCTGGGAGGTGGAGGCTGCAGTGAGCTGAGATCGCACCACTGCACTGTAGCCTAGGTGATAGAGTGAGACTCTGTCTCAAAAAAAAAAAAATTTCTGAGGTGAACATAAATTTTCATTTCATTTGAATAAATATTGACACGTCAGATTGAATTGTCATATGGTAAGCAAAGGTTTATCTGAATAAGAAACTGCCAACATCTTTTCTGAAGATACTATTTTGAATACTCACTAGCAGTCGATTAAAATTGTTTCACTTCCTTATCAGCATTTTATATTTTAAAGTTTTTTTAAATTTAATTTTTATTTTACTTTCATTTTTGATTTTTCTTTAAGACATCTTGAGAAATCTCCTTGGAAATCTTCTTAACACTTATCTACTTTATCACCACAATTCTGGCCTAGGAATGCTTTTCTTTTCCAACAAGGGAGACATATTCATCCTTTTG